GCAACGCTTGCATTTAATAGATTTGTTAGAAAAGAAAATACACCGACTCGTAGTATTATTAATAGTTCTGCTTGCGTAGCTTACGTATTAAAAGCAGATCGAAAACATAATAATAAAAGATAAAGTTAATAAGTAATAATATTAAAAAGAAAATAAAAAATATAAAGTTAATATAAAAAGAAAGTATTATTTATAATAAGACTTCGAGTATATACTACTGCTTTTGTTTTCTTTATTACGTTACCGCTTTAAGTCTCGCGCTATTACCGATTCGGCAATGCGTTACCACTTAACCGCTTAAACCGGCGCACGCTTATCTTAATAACAATACTAACGCTCGAGTTGATATTGTTTTTATAATTAAATAAAAGTGTTATAAAAGATATAAAAAAGAATTAAACTCGAAAGATTATCTTGCATTTTCGTTATTATTCTTATCTTTTTTGTTGTATTACGTACGCCTTTATACTAATACCGATCCGGCGATGCATCTTTAAATAGTACTTTAAAACCGTATTGCGATTATGCAATTCGGCTATATACTCGTTTTGCAAACACAACCTTACCACTTTAATAAAAAGTGATTCGAAAGCGAGTTTAATTTGAAAAAAAGACGTATATAATAAAATTGCGGCTTTGTATTTGTTTTGTCTATATATATAATACTAATGCTAAGCACTTTTGTTACGTAAATGCGCTGCATGCCTTAGCCTTGTTAAGCACGTAGTTAAGTCACGTAATTAAATCACGTGCAAGCTCTTATATAAACGAGTAATTAGTTTCTTTTTAAACTAGCACTATATCACTACACAATACAATACACGTACTTATAGCACATATTCGAGTATCCTTCGATCGTCCTCTTTCTTTCTTTTTATTCACTTACGATTCTACCATAGCTATATTCATATATATCTCTTGATTTAACGTTAGGTATATGTCGGAGCTCTTTCCTTCTACAATAATAGTTTATTTAAGTCAAATAAGATGCTCGATATCTCGTTATCTAGCCTTTCCGATAGCTTTAAAAGCCTTAAGTATAATAGTTCTTTTAGTTGAATAGTTAAAGGTTCCGTAAGTAGTGATAAGACTCGAAAAGTATAATACCTTGCTCTTTGTCGGCTAAACTCTTTACTCGAAGGTTTAGTTGCTCGATCGGCTATAATTATTATCTGTTTATATATAAGTCGATCTAAATTTAATTAAGTTGTTATATGTAGCAAGCGCGGCTCTTATAGCGTTAAAAGTTGTATAAAAGTGACTTGGTTCGGAATCACTCTTTCATAAGAATAAAGAAAAATCGGTAGTATAAGCAAGCGACTTAATACGGAATCGCTCTTCTATTGTAAAAGAAAAGAAGTATCGTAGTAATAAAGTATCTTCGCTATAGAGTATTCTTAGCTTCTCTGTGATTGATCACTTAGTAGTAAATCAATTATTAATTAGTATTGGATTGCTTTTAAGCGATTAAGAATATATATTCGTAAGATCGTAACGTTCGTTAAAGTACTTGCAATTGCAAAACACTCGGTTGATAAAGTATCTGAATTCTGTCTGCTCTTTAATGCTCAAAAGAACTGATTCTTTTTATAGGATTAGAAGGAATCACGTGCACTAGCTAACTAATAAGCTTACTTGTTAAGTTAAAGGTCCTTTGACTGCTGACATGCTAAGCGAAGCATGCTAAGTGGCCCGTGAACCATGGTTCACGGGTGAGCTTCCCCAACTACTACTACTAGCTAGCTAAGGTCGATATGGATATACCGACACTTTAGATCAACTTATTTAAGACGTTGTTAAAAATGACACTTAAGCGGTTTATATTTTGCAAGCATAGCAAGAAAGGTGTATTAACAAGAACGATACTAAAAGAAATCAAGCTTACGGGTGTATTAATATCGATTGTAGTTTTGATCATTATTAGTTCTCTTTTTCCGAAACGAATGCTTTTAGTAATAGTCGAGGTATTAATCTTAAAGTCGGAAAGTAACTTCTTTAAAGCTTTTACTTGCTTTTCGCTCGTCGAAGAAACAAAAGCGGCGCTTGTATTAAAGATAATTCCGTAGAATACTTTTAAATCGTAACGTTCGTTAAGCAAGCACTTCGAAAGTGGAACGTAAGGAATCGATACGTATAAGTCCGATTTTGTAAAAGCGTAGTAAGTTGATAAGTTAGTCAATTTAGCTGCTACTTCGCTTTTATTAATCTTCTTAATTAAAGTGTAGAAAATATTAATAAAGTGCTCGAGAGATAGTAGTATCTCGAGCGCTAATTGCTAATTCTTAAGTAGCAAATACTTTAGCTTTTGCTCCGACTTATTTTCGAAGTTTTCTACTCTTTTTTAATAAACTAAAAAAACGCAATAAGATTCTTTTATAGCTTCGTATTCAAGCATATAGTATGCTTGACGCTTAAACTTATCGAAGGCGATTTTGCGTTCTTCTTTCGTATGCTTTATAAACTAACAAAAAGGTTTTCCGCAAACGTAATAAGCTTTGTCGATAATATCACTACTTCTATTTGTTTTACCTGCTTTATATAAACCTTTGCTATTTTAGAAACCGTTATTGAATTAGCTTTTTTCGGAAGGTCTATTACCTTAACAGCTTTTATATAAGCTTCTTTTAGCACTTCTTTTATTGCGATAGCTTTTGCTAACGCGGCTACTTTCGTAAGTCCGGTCGGTATATAAAGAATTATTGATCTCGTCTTCTTTATTCGTGAATTATAATTTATAAGTATAAAAACTTAATGTTAATGCACTTGCTTGCTTTAAAGCGGTTGCAATTGCTGATTTTAGCTTTAAAGTAAAGGCTTCGAAGGTAAGAGCAGGTTTATAGAATACTAAAGCGCATTCGGAGATCTTTTTTACAGCGCTAAAAAAAGCATCTTTAATTGATTTGTTATCGTAATATATAAAAAGTAAGTTGCGTTGTAAAAAGGTTAATTTGTTAATCATGACGTCTAAGGCCTTTAATTTAGTCTTCTCGAGGTGTAAAGCAGCAATCCTCTTAAAAGTAGTCTCTTTTTATTTAAATAAGTATTTTTAAGTGCTTTTTTTAATCTTGAACTTCATCTTCAAGAGATTAACTATCTCTTTAAATCTTAAACCTTTATTATATAAGAAAGTGTAAAAGTAAGTATTTGCTTTAGTCTTTAAGCATAATAAAAAAGGCTTTAGCGTAAGCTAAAGGCTTTTAAAAGAGACTAACTATCTTATAATAATTATAGAATATTAGTAATTTGTCCTTAAGAACGTCGTAGTCGCTTTTACTAAACTTTTTATTTTTATCTACGTAAATTTTAAGTAGGTCACTTAAAGGTTTGCTGAAAGCGCTCGTATTAGCTTAAGGAGGAAGGAAAAGAAGAGGAAGAAGACTAATACCACCGCTACCGCTACCGCTACCGCCGCCGCTACCTCTTGAGAGAGGAAAGGGAGGTGGTAAGCCATTACCGAAAGGGTTGAAAAGGTTAAAAGAGTTCCAACTGAATTAGTGTAAAGTAAGGAACTGTGTCTATAGTGTTTGTTGCAATTGAGTGTGGTCCGAAAGAAGAGGAAAAGGAAGAGGAGGCGGAGGTTGCTAGTTTAAAAAAAAAAGAGAAAGAGCAAATACAGCTCTTTTCTCGGATTCTATCTTTTTATTCAAGTTCTCTAGAGCTTTTTGCGAGTCTAAGGTCTATTCGAAGGGTTTGTCGTCCGAAAGGACATCTATGAATACCTTCTTATAAAGTATACTAGTACTGACAAGCTTGATTAGCACGCTATTTAAGAGTAGATAGCGTTAAAGGTTTTTGCAGCATATCTTCGTAGCTAATACAAAAGTATCTTGTGTTTAGCTTTCGAAATCTTCTTAAAACAATTCTTTTAAGTTAGCTTTAAAGTATCGATAGACGTTTTCGTAACCGATAAGCATTAAGAGGATGTAACCGTTTACGATCTCTATAGTATTTTCTGTGTTTGCAAGATCGAATTTTCTTTCTTAAGCCTCTTCGTCGACTTTAAAGCTTATATAGTCGGGAATAAGTGATATGTTATAAAAGGGATATCGTAAAAAGGTATCGTAAAAAGGGTATAGTAAAAAGGTTGTAAAGAAGTGGTAAGTTTTTCGTAAGAGTAAGTAAATGAATTTGCGTGATAGACGCAATTGAACAAGTATCGCTTTTAAGCTCGTAAGTTTATAACGAAAACAAAAAGATCAAGTTCTTTTCTTAGCGTAAAAGTATTCTAAAGAGCAAAGCGATCCTCGTGTTAAGAAAAATCGTCTTTTTTATTTAAGTAGTTGCCTCTTTTAAGAGTTACTTTGCTGTTTGTGGTTTGTGAAGTAAACTACTGATCAGTGTTAGTATTACAAGTGTGATGATGCAAAGTTGAATACGTATTCAAAGTATAAGTGTGTTCAATTGGTATTGCATGTATTCTTAAGTACGTAAGGTGGTAGCTTCTTATAGCTACCGATGCAAACGGAAGGTACAAACGGGTATCTACGTGACTTGACTTGTTTGACTTATTTGACTGAGTTGATTCAGCTGAGTGTAGTCAACCAAGCTGAATGCTAGTTCCAACATGTACAGATTGAAATTTCAAGCAAGTCGGTAAGATTTGGCTGTACCCATGATTTTGGCCCAAGCACTCCTGGCAATCTCCTCACATATAGTAGTATACTTAGGATGATAGACCTTTTGGCCTATAATGCTTGGGAAGCAGCCAAGACTGGCAATTAAGACAGGAGCAATAAAATTCACTACATATAAATATCAGTTACGGTATTCAAAATGTAACCAAATTATATAGTGCCGCCGCCCAGCCTCAAGTCATACCGAGACTAAAATGATTGTGGACGCCGCCCATGCCAATATTTAAAAGACTGCTGTGCATCACAACGACAAGTGTCCAAGGTACAGCCGAAACATCTTCCATCAACAATGCCTCTCTTCAACATACCTATCCCTAATGCCGGTCTTCTCAAAATTCCATAACAGCTTCCCCACATCACACCATATCAAAACCCAGCCACGTTAATCGTCGTATTGAAAGTCGTAACCACCCCCGAATAAGCCGCGCCGAACAAACTAAAGACCTCTGCACTGAGGACGCGAGGCCCGTTCCCCGTCCCCGAGGGCAGCGTGACGCTGAAGCTGATGGGCGTCAATACGTTCGACTTGGTGGGCCCCAGATAGGCCGTCGCGACGACGCTGCCCAGCGACCCGGGGAAGCCCGGAGCGTTGGCCACGCCGAAGGCGACGGCGACGTCGTAGACTGACTGGATGTAGTTGGAGGTCGTCAGCGTGACGTTGAACGGGTTGTAGGCGTAGACGGTGCTGGGCGCCGTTACCCCCGTGATGATGGCTAGGGTGGAGGGTAGGAGGGTAAAAGCCAGGAGGAGCTTGGCCGAGCTGGGATCTGAGAAACGCATGTTGTTGTTGGTTTTACTTTTTTTTTTTGGAGGTTGATCTTAATTTGAGAGGTATAGGACGGGCTGACGAGTCCTGTATCGTGTGGCTGTCTATGTTTGTTGTTGGTATATTGTGTCGGTCTTCTGCTGGGCTGTACCTTCTGTTATATACACCACTACCACATTATCACAGGCGCTGAATAGTAAACACTGAACACGAGATGCTTACCAAAATACACCCGAGGGTGTGATATCACTCCTATTCTTAGACTTCATCGCGCAAACACCGAACACGAGGTTACATAGACATAGAAACGAAGCGAATCAGCTGGCTCGCTTATCTCGTTTACACATAACACACATATCGGTTTGCAAGTTGCTTACAATTAGAGCTTCGGGGGAAAACTTCCCATCAACTTGCACTCAAGAGGTAATACTGCGGCAGGCGAGTAAGGATGAGGAGTCTCCAGTAGTCAGTTTCCACAGCTGTGTGATGCCAATAATCATCTGTGAAGCTTGGGGTGAAGAGAGGGAGGCGTTTTCGCCTTCCTTCGTGGGCTGACAAACTCGATCAGATGATTATTTGATTTGTAATCTCATCATTTCTGCAGTCAGCAACAACTCGAAACTGATAAAAACAGAAAATAACTAGGAGACACGGAGAAGTAATTTATTTTTGCGAGCTAAGCCAGCCCAGACAGGTAGGATAGATGTCCGTCTGTATAGATAGATAGATAGATAAATACGACCTTGCCAACCACAAAGTAGTTCCATGCCATATTCTCCACCTCTTATCAACAAAGGCAAGGCAATATTGAGAGGGCTCGTACATACAGTGCAAGAAGATCAGACGGGACTTTCCGAAGATGATACAAAGCAAGATAGCGACTCACAAAGGATTGACACAAAGCAAGATAGCGACTCACAAAGGAAAGCAAGATAGCGACTCACAAAAGATTGACGCTGTTATCTTAAATTGACAAGCTTGCATTTGGGTTTTCAGCTCCAGAACGGGATTTTATTAATTCCTGAATAATTTGCCGCAGAGAACGCTTCCTGCCCAGTTTGATGTAGAGGGAGCCAGCACGAAAGGCCAGAGATCTATTTCTGTGGCGTATCCAACATAACGAAATAACCGATCATGGCACGAACAAAAAGAGCATACACGATGAACAACGAGGTAAAAAGATCACAAGGTACTGTATATCTTGCAGTTGATCCAATAGTAACCACAATTTACGTTACTACACTCGACAGCAATAAGCGCGAGACCCAAGACATCCCCCTACCAACACCGACCCAAACCAAGTCAAAATCAAAGTAAGCCCAGATTAGCCCTCAGTTCACCATCAATACTCCTCCTTTGCAATCCAGGTCGGACACAGCCCTAAAACAAACTTCCCCTAGCAAGCGGACTCCCGACCTTAGGAGCCCACTGCAAGCTCTTCCTCCGCGCAGCCATCAACCGCATCATAACACTCTCATCCTTCTTTTCGCTCAACAAGCCTGCGCCCATACTGGCTTTACTCCCCTCTTCATCTTGCTCGGTATCGACATAACGTCTGCCAGCGGGAGCAGTCCTTTGCATCAAGTCTGCTTGCTGCAAATAGTACGGCGATTGACCAACAGGGGTGTCTTCCCCATAGAAGCCGTCCTTCCCGTAAGCAGAGATAGTTTCCGGGGCAGGAGTGGCCGGCACGGGCGAGAGAATGAGGGTCTGGTCATCCACTTCCCCCGTCAATGAAGATACAGGCGAACGAACCCACTGGACGGACTCGCGTCGGCGACTCTTGCTGGTGACTGGAGTTTCTGGGAAGTGAAGGAACTCTTTCGTGGGAGACATGTTCCGACCTGGTGTGGCGGCGGACAAGAGCTCTCCGTTCATCTTGGCCAAGGCCCGAGGTTCCATACTCTTACGACGACGGCCACCGCCTCGAGGAACGTTCTGGGTATCGACGGAGTATACAGACTCATCGAGCCATTTGTTCTCACGTTCACAACTGGCAGAGTTAGTACGTCTCAGGATCAAATTCAACACAAGACTTACTCTAGCACCCATCCCACACCCACACACGAGACGACTCCGTTGGTCTCCCTTACTTTCTCCAAAGTGCGCTTTCCACCATCTTTGAAGACGACGTGGGTGATCCCGATCTTGCTCATGTCTTCGGCATTGCCATTCCAGCTCCACGTTTTGACACATCTGGCACCCATCTGAGTGAGGAGCTCAGTGAAGAGAGCGCTGGCATCAGCACCTTCGCTCGTGTGAACATCGACAAAGACAACAGCACCCTTCAGTAGAGAAGTGTCGATATCGCGGCGAGGAGTACGGGCTGGAGTACCTATGCTGGACCAGGCAGCAGATTTCGAAGGAGTAGCAAGGCCTTTCTGCGTGACCACATCCTCGCTCTGCTGTTTTGATTGGGTTCCAGGTGTCTTCTTGGTAGGTGAGTACGAGATGACGGTGTTGCTGCGAGATTGGGTGCCTGCTGGTCGCTGAGATGGTAGTCGAGAAATGCTGGCACTCCGCTTCACCGGGGAAGCTCGCATTGGCGAGTCTTCAGCGGCAGCTTTGAGAGGAACCTTGAAAACAGTGTGGCAGTCTCGCTCGCCCAGAACACGTCTTGGCTTCGGAGTTGAGAATGCTCGTGGAGCAGGTGAATCTGGGGCAGTAAGGGCAGGGAGCTGGGGGTCAATTGGAGTGGCATTCTCATCGCCATACTCTTGGCTAGCCTCTGACGGGGCAGGTTCAGCGATGGGTTGCACATTTTGCTCATCTACTTTCACGATAGAGCCCTGGGGCTGAGGAGCTTCCGGCTCAGTCGGGTCCAAGATAGGAACTTGTACTGTTGTTGACTCATTGTGAACAGAAGCAACATCCGGCTCCTGGGTCATGGTGGATTCATCGTGTTCGAACTCGCTTGCTGAAGGCTGAAACGCATCGTGTTCATCTTCGTTGACAGCATTCGCATATTCTTGGAAAGCTGCTGGGTCGCCAGCCTCCATTGGGTTGACCACCGTCAAAGTAGCGTCTGCGAAGGCCAGCTCGCCCTGCAGCTCATCAACGTCAGAATACCCAAACATCTCCTCTTGCTCATGAGGGTCAACCTCATCAGGCTCAAACAAAGACATCTCGTCGGCCTCATGAGCGAGTGCGAAGTCTTCCTCGTCAAGCTGGACAGGCTCAAAGTTCTCTGCCAAAATGTCAGGCTCCTCGTTTGCCACCTCGGGGTCAGCTGATAGCTCATCACGGATAGCCATTTCATCCTCGAAGAATTTGCTCCTGGATGGTGATGGACCAGGGGTGTCGTCCTTGTCGACGCATTGCTCGCTGTCCGATTTCTCGGGGCTAGCCGCCATCCAGTCGCTGAGCTGTCTAGCAAGAGGTGTGAACCCGATCTTATCCTTGTATGCTGACCGCTGAGAAGCAGCAGTCTTTGGTGTCTTCGCCATTGCCTTGAATGGGGATGGTGTTGCAGGCGACGAGGCAAAATCAAGGGGGCTGTTGAAGGCAGCTATTGGTATAGGCGAATAGTTGGCAGATCCAGAGGCAAGCTCATCCTCAGAGTCCGAGTCATCGAATGGACTCTCGTCACGAAGAGCGAAGGCACCGCAGAACCCAGTGCTGTTCCTTGGAGGAGACGCGGCTAGGCTTGTGCTGTGGTCCACTGAGTCCTCGACAACGACTGTATCAATCCCTCCAACGGGCACAGACACGACATCCTGCTCAGCTTCGACGACAGACGTGATATCCTCAGTCTCGGCACTGGCGGTCTCCTCAGCAGTGGGCTCGGACGTTACCAATTCTGGATCTACCTCTCGAGGCGTAATAGAGGAGAGACGGCCACTGAAATTCATTCTTGGCTCAGGGACCATCATTTTATCTTCCGAATCTTCATTCGACACCCCAGGGCTTCCAGTAGAGACAGGCAGAGTGGGTGGGCCCATTAATGCAGTGCGAACAATTTTCTTATCGATAGTCCTAGGCGTAGCAAATCTCGAGATCTTGAATGTGCTGACCTTGGGTGTCCCGGCAAGCAGTGTGTTATTGCTGGTAGATCTGGTGGGAGAACCATTCTCTGCAACCTTGGTAGGTGATTGTGGACGTCTGGCAGGCGATTGGAGTAGCGAAGCTTTGAATGAGGTATTGTCTTGGGTAGGTTTTAGCGCTGGGAGTGAGAGCTTGAATGGGGACTGGAGCATCGAGTTGCCCATGGTGGTGGATTTCTGAGTAGACGTCTTGAAGGAATCCTTAAACGGTGATTGGGGAGGGCGACGTGCGGGACTGGCGGCGATGAATCCCTTCAGATCCTGGGTCGTGGCTCTGCTGGCCGTGATAGAACTGCTTGTAGAAGATAAATCTAACTTCTTTGCCGTGCCGAAGACGCTTCCAGGAGCCTTGACCGGGCTCTTCATGAGCAGCTTCATGGGCGTCTTCTCGGTTGTAGCCAACTCGTCTTCCGAGACGGCATCTCTCGAGCTGCCCACCTGTGTAGCCTTTTTAGGACTCAGTGGTGATGACTTCTCCTCCGCGGAGACTTTTGCCCGGCCACGAGTGGTGCGCGCTGTAGTCCCAGCCGCGGGCTTTCGGACGGGTTTGGCTCGTAGACCGGTAGCAGGCACGGCCTTCTTGCCTTTCGCGTTGAGATTGACGGGCACGATGTTCTCCTTGTCGGGCTCTTCGAACTTGACGCTCTTCTTTGGACCAACGACTTTGCTGACGGTTGTAGCTCGAGCTCTTGTAGGTCTCTTGGGTGGTTCCTCGACGGCGGCGATAGAATTCTCAACAGGAAGATCGATTTTCTTCGGGCGTCCCCGTGAAGCCCTCGCAGGCTCGGGGGCGGGAGTATCTACATCGGCATTCTTCTTGGGACGACCTCGACTTGGGCGCACTGGTGCATCGTTCATCGCTATCTCGGGCTCGGATTCCTGTCCCGGCGCGGGTTGAGTGTTTCTCTTGGGACGCCCGCGCGTGAATTTAGGTGCTGGTTCGATTATTTCATCTGGTTGGGGCTGGGATTGTTGTTGTTGTTGTTGTTGTTTTTGTTCTTCTTCTCCGTCCACATCCTCGGATCGAGTCTTTCGCTTGGTTGTCGAAGCAGCGCGGGTGACTGTGACTTTGGCTTTCGAGGCGGCAGTCGCGATTCTGGCCGTCTTGATGCCGAGGGTGTCTGTTGACTTTGCAGCGGCCCGGGCGCGTGTGACTCGTTTGGGCGGGGACTGGTCCATGGTGAGGAATGTTGTTGCTGGTGTTGTTAGTATGGGTATGTATGTTGGCAAATATGAAGTTGCAGTGGTTTTACATTGGTGCAACGAGGAAGAGAGATGGATGAGGCGAGGATATTTGTCGCACCTTGAAGCTGTATTTCGGCTGATTGATTTGTTTATCAGGGCTAGCACGAAAACATCGCCAGTTGCCATGTCAACATCCACGTGATACCAAATACCGCTTAATTTGGGCCGACCAGAATCCTGGTATCATCCGACCGACGCTCCACTTGCCGGCGTTTTTTTACATCGAGCTGCATCTAGGAACAATAAGGATGCGAAGTTACTGAGGGAGGGCCAACTGTCAAAATGCATCTTTTTCTTTTTTTTTCCTTTACTGCCGAACACTTTAATGGCGTGGATTCAGCCCTCCGACGAAATAAGATGGACCTGGCCACCGGCGTCGCGGTGGGGAGCAGCATCCAGATTGGTACCTCATGAAGGATCGCTGGATATTTGCTAGTGATGTTACCTTCTTCATGCATACATTCTTCTTTCTTCTCAAATGTTCGTTGCTCTGTATCAAAAATATCGCTATGCTGAGCACGCGCCCAGCAAGGCACTTGTACTCTCTACATTCTATGCTGATCCATCATCATATGGCATGTATATTTCTATTCCTGTTCCCTTTCTCGTGTATTGGATTTCCGCCATCTGTTTGTTCCATCTTTGCCATTTCCCTCTCCTTAGGCTGCTGTATCACCATGGGTATTTCTCTCTTCAGAAAACATGCATGGCCACAAAGAGTCAGCATCCTCAATGTTAAATACGCTCCAGATCAAAATCTGATTTCCTGCTATTTTCTGTTTCAATTCGCATGTTTTGCAAGACAGATAGCATTTGTTTGCATGAAGCCTTACCTTCCATACCACCTTTGGCGTGTCTTCCATGCTGCATGTCCATGTATATGTTGCCTGGAGGAGAGTTCTAGTTGGGTAGGCAAAGATTTATGTATTGCTCATAAATCAAAGATGCAAGCGTATCTCATCGGCTCTAACAGCTCTTGACGTTTTCATTTTCTATCCAATCCCCTCTCATAAACAAGGTCTACCCTAAAAGCTAAGTCTTGTTCACTCCCCCTCTTCTCCCCAGCCTCCATCACATCATACAAATTCTTATCTTCTTCTTCTAACCATCTGCCCAAACCCCCTCTTCACTACCCTATCGACCACATTCCTCTGCTCAGCTCTCGACTTCCTCGTCAATCCACTCGCTTTAGCAGGCTTGCCCGTCGACGCAGACGAAGGCTTAGGCCCAGTCTCGCTTCCCGCCAATCCACCCGCTTTAGCAGGCTTGTCCGTCGACACAGACGAAGGTTTATGCTCAGTCCCGCTTCCCGGCTTTGGCTCTTGGGTTCCTTTGGGTCCCTTTCCGGACATCTCATAACCAGACCCTGCCTCACCGGGCTCGCCTTCACCGGGCGCTTCCTTGCCGGGCTCTGCTCCACCTTCACCAGGCGTCTCTTTTCCAGGCTCTTCTTTACAAGGACAAGGCTTCTCCTCCCCAGGCGCTCCTTCGCCAGGCGCTCCCTCTCCAGGCGCCCCCTCCCCAGGCGCCCCCTCGCCAGGCGCCCCCTCCCCAGGCGC